TAAACACTCACGTCGCTTGAGCGCGTGAAGACGTTTTGAAGGTGCTGATGTGGATCCCTGAACCACCCACCAACGCTCTTCTTCCCCTTTTAACCCTAATTTCTCCCTCTTTTCTCTTATTTCTCCTCTTTTCTTTCTCTTCATCATTAAGTTGGAGCTGCTCATTAGAATATATCTCTTCTTCATTGATTTCTTCTTGATCATCAAGTTCCAATGTCGAAGTTATCTTTTTCATCGATTTCTTCTTTTTCAAGTTCTTGACGTGTAAATGGATTGAAGTTTGATTGGTTGCAATTTCCACGTGGGTAAGGTGGATCTCACGCGCACAATCAACAAAAAATATATGCGGAAGATTTGTGCCACATCAGCCCACAGTGTTTAAAAGGAACAAATTATGGGTGATTTAAGGATTCAATAGGAAAATGACGTAGTTGAGGTACCTAAGGGGAAAACCCCAACAAGTTTGGGGATCTGTTTATGTGTTCGGCCTTAAATATTGTAGAATATTGTATTTGCGCGATTTTCAGTAAGAATTAGAGTTTAGCCCTCAAAGTTGAGTTTAAGCCCAATTACTACCCACAGCCCAAAGCCCCATTTTCAAAGCCCATAAACAGCACTCTACGCTTCCATTATCCAAATAGAAACCAAATCGGCGAATCCGTTTTCCATCTCCGCCGCTGCTGCCACCGCCGCTGCTGCCATCGCCGTCGCCAAGATGAAGATTGTCCGAGGTATCTTAAGGACTGCCAATGCTTGCCTATCTCGTTATTCTTCTCATCATCGGACTTTTTCTGCACTTCCGAATTTTGGTAGGTACTGTTATTTATTCAATTCTCTGTTGAATTCCTTACTTTATCATGCTAACTTGTAGTTTTTGTAACTGAAAATGTGCGAGTTTTAGTTTTATTGAGCTTATTTTGAATCCTATTATCGTTGTTTAGCAATTTTCTATTGACTTTACGCCGGAAAATAGAGGTGGCTGACCTCAAAATATTTAGATCTGGTCTGTTCTCGTTGTTCAGAAATACATATACAGTGTTCGAACTAAGTAGAACTGTACACTCCTTAGCTCAACTTGAGCTACGAAATGCCCTCCTTGAACTCTTTTGAACTTCAGAGCTTAATCACGTCTTAAATGAGCCTTTGGCAATACTGGTTGTCCCCATACATCTTCCAAGATCACTGTTATGAATATAACTTAGCTGGAGGACCTATGTGACAAGATGCCAAATTACATTTGGGACCCTGGGAAGATTCCTATATATAGAAGTGGGAAATACTCAGTTAGCACTATGCTATGAACTTGTCTCTTATTTCTTAGTTTCTTAGTTTAATTTGGAACCAACCTCCATTCTTCCTTTAATTTCTACTTCTTCCCTTAGAAGGATTTGTTACTAGTTTTGGAGTAATTAGAACGATGAACTCTTATAGTTGTACGTGTAATTCCAATTATCCATAACAATACAATATGAGTTCATTACATTGGTGTTTTCATTGTTTGTACTCCATGCCTCTTTACCCTTCTGCCATACTTGATGATCAACTCAACACCCTCTCTGAATCGTTGAAGATGCTGCAAGAATCGATGAAGGAGCTCCAGGCGAACAACAAGCGTATGCTCTCTTCTATTTGCCATGTGCGGTCACTGCTGCAGGAGGAGATGCGATTGGACTCCACTTTCACTGATAGTCCAGATATTTCAGATGATAAAACTATCACCTCTGTGCTAGAGTCAGCGTGCAATGATAATGACACCGAGATTGCTGATACCGTGAAATCACAGTTGGATTCTCAGCTTCTTATTCTTGATGTTGAATATAAAATACAAAAGCACATCTCTCCCTCTGTTCTGTCCAGTGCTTCTATTGACACTACCGAGCTTGAATTTTCTCGTTTGTCCTTCTCAGTTAAAGAATCGACATTTCCAGTTAAAGGCTACAGACATAAGCTTGACATGGAGTTTGACTGCAAGGTCTTCGATAAAATGCGGAAGAGAGATATTTTTGCAGAATTTCTTGGCCCTCATACAGCTATTGGTTCGCTTGGTGTACACATTTTTAATTGGTTTGATACAGGGCAGTGGGCTTGCTTTGATAAGGTAAACTCGAGTGAGTATTCAGTCAACCGAGTTCTACTTTTTGGTTATTCGAAAGGCTTTCCACTTCTGAGTGTGGATGATGCTTCAGATGTATGTGATGTATCCTCAGTGACCACTACACATAAGGTGTTTGCTGATATGTCGGGCAGGTATAAATATGCGTACTCTTTTATTCTTGACTCAACTAGACCGTGCCCTGAATTTGGGAGTGACATTATGATTATGGATAGAATCACATTGCTCCATAAGATTAAATGCTTACAACTTCCATTTGACCCCGGTGTATATGTCACACATGATGTTGCCATTTTCTTCTGTGACATGTGTGAAGATATTAGAATTGTTACCCATATCGAATATCTTTGCGTATCTGCTAACCATGCTGTCGGGGCTGTTTCGCCCAGTGCATTAGAAAAGTATATCGATACATATGACTTCCGTCAGTACCTCAATTTTCGCAACTTCAACTTGTCCTGGCAGCTATACACTGTTGTTGCTTCCTCACACGGCGACAATAATTTTACTGTGCTTGGGTTGTTGGAGAAGCTAAATACCACAGGAGAGGTGCATGTTTATTTGTGGTATAACTCTAATGTCGAGATCAATCTAACAACAGATGTTTTGCTAAGTGGCAATTGGCTTGGGCTGATTGTTTTTTCTGCTGACCAAGTATTGCATATTTTGGTGAACAACCAATGTGCAAGAACATTATTTGCATGTTTGGGGAACTCCAAACAGTCTGGCAGCAACGATATAAATCAGAGAGCTGGTGTAAACATGAAATCTGGTATAAGCTTTATCCATGGTGTTCTGAATGTTGGCCCTCAATCTGAGAAGTGGAACGGTAGTGTTTTTGGATCAGTTTCACCTACTGGTCACAACCAGTTTCTTCATTTGTCTAGTGGTCATTCAATTGTTGTAGGGGTTGACGACTGCTCAGTAATAGTCTTATGGATCATCCTTGAGATTTGTATTCGACTCTTTTGTGGGTTAATGTCATTAGAATATCCAATTACAACCAGTTTAAAAAGGAGCAGCCATATCTTTTCTGATGACAAGTTTCCAATTCACAAGTTTGCTCACTACTGGATCCAAGCTAGAATGATGCTTGAGGTGCTTGCAAAAAAGGCAGTTTTATTTAAAAAGGTTGCTCCTGAGGTTGGAAGAGTGGAAGATTTTAACGGTGTACAAAACAAAAGAGCCACAATACCATTTTTATGAACGCAAATGCTCCATGAACAACAAGTTGCCCAGCTTGAAAAATTCCATTTGCCTCTCTGTGATCAAATGTTACTGTTAGAAGGTGCAAACACCACGGCAAACACTATTATTGATGCGTCGGAAACTGTAGCAGCTACAAGGGAAGTCACGCTGAAGGCACCGACTATTGAGGATATTGACAAAACAATTGTTGTAGTCAGCAAACACATGGAGATTATAAAAATGCTACAAGAAGAAATCTTTTCGCATATTTGTGCAGCTGCTGATTTTGTCGAAAGTGAGTTGCAGGCAACAAATAACAAAAAGGCACAAATAACGTGTTGGAAATCATGTTGGCTGGATATTGTCCAAAAATTGCTCCAGATGTGTTCAATGAAATGTTACGGAAAGCTGGTGGGGCTTCCAATGAACTGAAGATGTGGTCTTGCTCTCAACACACGATCAAGTGTTTGTTAGATGCTTCTGAAATTGGGGCGAGATACATAGTGTTGGTTACATCTTTAGACGAGTTATCCCCTAATGAATATATGATATTGGAAGTTGGTTTTGTGTTCGATGTTGGAAGGATTTTTTTCAAACTGGTTGAGAAAGTGGTTGTCCCCTGGAGTGCTTGTTTGACTACAAAGACCTTACAACTGCCAATGCCATCAATTCATAATGTTTTAGAGGAGTTGAATCCAACAATTTTCAATGCCCTCAGATTGAAGCTCCATAAGGTGTTCAATGTTGTTACTTTAGTCCCGCCATCTTCATCGACCAAGAAACTCTTTGATGTTAATCTTGTTAGACATGGATACATCCTCTGGTTCAAAAAGCAAAACAAAAGACCGTTATTGAATGTTGCTTTGGATAACGAAGCGTCTAAAGAACTCCTTTGGGTTGTTAACACTGATAAAGAGGAACAAGACAATACTATTGTCTCATTACGACTATATTCGAACCTTGAGGACAAGGTTCTTATTGAGGAGGGGAGAATTGTTATGAATATAACTACAATGGAGGACCCATGTGATAAGATGTCACATTACATTTGGGACCCCGGGTAGATGCCTATATATAGAAGAGGGAACTAGTCAATTAGAGTTTATGCTATGAACTTGTCTCTTATTTCTTAGTTACTTAGATTAATCTGGAACCTCTCTCCATTCTCCCTTTTTATTTCTACTTCTTCCCTTGGAAGGATTTGCTACTATTTGGAGCAATTAGAATGATGAACTCTTATAATTGTACGTGTAATTCCAATTATCCATTTCAATACAATATGAGTTCATTACAATCACTCAGGAAAAAACTGTTTTAGGAGAAAACTGTTTAGGAGTTATTTCTCAAAAAAAATAATTAAGTTGTTTAAGAGTTTTAAACAGCTGAACATGTTGAACACACAATGACAATCGGCATCCTGTGATTGAATAGTGGAAAGAATTGTAACATGGTCAAGCATCTCTTGGATGATATTTTACTGGTTCACTTATCCTTCACAAATTGTCTGCCTTTCATATTGGACAATCCTAATTGACATTACTAATGTTCATATTTAAGACGCTCTAGCCTTATCTGATTCTTCTTTATTGTGTAATTATGTGCTTCTTCATCATTGGTCATCATCCCCTTTTCATGTATATGCATTTTCTCTTTTATCTACATCCCTGGTAATGGACATGAATTTCCTTGTCACTACACAGCCCCTGATGATAGGCAAAGAACCAACTCATTCGAGTCTGCTGAAGACTTTGAAAGACGAATTTTTGGTGATAGTGCGGGTAACAGGCCAAGTCCAAACTCCTTTTTCAGAAAGCTTGATGACGCTGAAAAGTCTTATGATAGATCTAGTATGGGCTCCACATTCAGTTCTGGAAACAGATCTAGTATCCTTGATGGTCTAGATGAGAGTTTTAATACATTATCAGATGGGATGGATGGTAAGCTGAAGGAAGCAGCCAGCTATTTTCAGGTTGATCCTGATGAAGTAGACAAAGAAGATTATGCTTACAGAGCAGATATGACCTTTTGGCCCGGGAACACTTATGAACTCAAGGTATGAGTAATGAGCCTACCATTTCTTGTATGCTTTTAGTATCTTGAGTGTCAATTCCATATAAGGATGTGTCTCACTGTGGTTTTTGTATATCTTGGACCCATTGGTGTTTCAACTTTCAACAGCTTCTATCAAACATTCAATTGTTTGGGACTGCTAGAATTGTATACTCTAAGTGTGTATTTCCTAGTACACCTCGTTTTCATGCTTTGTTCGCTGTTGGAAGAGCAAAATTATGGATGGCATTAATTTGTTGCCATAGCTCAACATGTCCTCTTGCTCTATATTTCCTATGGTGCTGTCATGTCCACCTCTAAGCTTTTCATTATTATCATGCAGGATCTTGATCTTAGAAAACCAGGAGTTCGCAAGCCTAAAAAAAGGGATGAATTTGAAACTACGACAGAGGAAGTTTTGCGCAAAGCTGATTTCAGGGTTTGTGTTCTTTGTTCTACATCACTTTGACCATGTATGGCTTTAGAATGTATCCGTATATGCACCCCAATGTCTGCACGTGGAAACACCCTTGAGCACGTATATTGCTTATTTGATATTCTTAGCATCAAGTCTCTGCTGTTTAGTTTATTGTTGCTGAATATCATGTTCCAAGTACCGGGATGTTGCTTATAAACATAAAATTGGTGTCTTCCTCCCAAGTATTGCCTTGTAATTATGACCCATTGTGAACCTTCTGACTCTTAACGAAGTTATCTGATTTATAGCTTTAACAAATTTGCAATACAGAATGTGAGATTCCTAGCTAACTTCATCACGGAGGCTGGAATTCTCCACAAGAGGAGCAAGGTTTGTAATCAAATCCATCGACTAATTTTGACGATTGAATATGTAAATGTTTCTTATTCTATCTTTTCGGTCATGTATAGACTGGAATTAGTGCCAAGGCCCAAAGAAAGATTGCCAGGGAGATAAAAACTGCCAGAGCTTTTGGTCTGATGCCTTTTACAACCATGGGAACAAAACAGTTTGTATTTGGCAGAACAATGGAGGACCTTGATGCAGATTATGAATATGAGATGTACGACCCCAATTTTGTCGATTCAGAAGCTGGTCGGGAACCTTTTTAATCCTTAAAAAGACACTAGTTACTATTTGTTTTACTTATCCTTGGTTTGTCCTTGAGAACATGTATTTCAGTTATTGCTAAGGACTGATTTGCAGATGAGGAATTAGCATACTAACTCGCTTTCATCCAATGAAAAGATGTTCTCGAGGTTTTGTTTCAAATTACATACTGCTTCAAAGGACTGCCCTACATAATATATGCTGGTCTCATTGTACATCAATGATTTAGCTGTTGGAACTCTCCTCCTTGAGATGTTGTGATTTGGTTCATTTTGAGGATGTTCAAAATTAACTTTTGGCTCTATTTCAGTTTTCGTTACTTCAAACAAATAAAAAGCTGTTTTTTTTTTTTGCATACATAACCTTCAAAGTGGAGTCAATATAGAGTTCGTATGAGAATTGATATAATTACTTCCCTTGTGCAGATTTATCAGTATGTTTTAGCTCGACATGATTGAAAAGGAAGTAGAAAATGTAAGTTCTAGACTCCAAGTTTGTTCTTTTTTCTATCTGCTGTAATTTGGTTTAGAAGATTATTGTTACTAGATGGGCAGATTCATTATCCATCGAGTTTTGAGTTTTGAGTTTTGTCTTGGTTATCAAAATAAACAAGCAACGTGGGATGTACATTTGGTTTTTTGTTTTGTATTTGTACTATTCGGTTTGGATATTTCGATCTTAAAAAAGTGTAAGTGTAACCCAATTTTGCTTTTGGTTTGGTTATTTGATTTTATCAATAATTAAGTAACATAATCAAAGTTATATTTGTAAATTGAAAAAAAAATATATATACAAGGAGAAGTAATAATATTGAATGCATTAATAATACAATCACAAGTAAAACTTAAAACTCAATATTTAAAAGTAAAATATAAATTGTATCATAACGAAAGGCAATAACTAAAAAGGGACTAAAGTCGTTAACTCCAACTTAATTCAAAACCTAAATATATTATATATGTAATCAATAATATATATAATTCAGTTTTTTTTTTCTAAATCCGAAATCAAACCAAAAAACTAAACAATTTTTTTAAATCCAAAATCAAACCAAAAAATAAAAACTCCAATTCAAATTAAAATTTGGTTCGATTTTGTTTGATTTTTCGATTTAATCCGAACAATGCACACTCCTATATTCAGTAAAATCAAAACAAAATAACGTCTCTATAGTTTCTGTTCTTGTGAAGGCAAAACTGAAGCTCTGCACATCGGACAATCTGTCTTCCTCATCAGCCATTGTTTGATGCAATCTGTATGATACTCGTGTCCACATTGCAACGCTCCTAAATTCTCTTCGTTTTCATATTCAGATTGACATATAGCACAGATATCTGATTCTACATCAGGTGCTACTACTTCAGGAGCATGATGGATTCTTATTTTCAAATACTTCAGTACATCACCATGATCATGATTATTTCGAGGACGAAAACGAAATCTCGAATTTCTCTCTCGAAAATTCAGTAGTCTAGTCCAGAAGTTGACATGTTGAGACCTATTGGCATTTTCCATGCGTTGATAATATGAGAGAGGATAGGTATTTACTCCAAGTGATTCTAAGACTGAATAATAGTAGGGCAGAGGAGGTTGAAAAGCATGAATTGGGTGTGGATTAATAAAATCATCGAGATCATAATGTCTAGAAGACTGATAATTGTGGTGTCTTGGAGCATTACGCGTATTATAGCTTCGTTGTTGATGATAGCTATTTCTAAATTGTGGATCAATGTACTCATATTGAGTAAACGATGCATCATATGTGTTTGGATTAACATAATCATTGAGATCATACTGTCTAGAAGGCTGATAATTGGGGCGTCTTGGAGCATTACGTGAATTATAGCATCGTTGTTGTTGACGTTGTTGATGATAGCCATTCCTAAATTGTCGATCAATGTACTCATATTGAGCAAACGATGCATCATATGCGTTTGGATTAACATAATCATCGAGATCATATTGTCTAGAAGGCTGATAATTGGGGCGTCTAAACAATGCATCATATGCGTTTGGATTAACATAATCATCGAGATCATATTGTCTAGAAGGCTGATAATTGGGGCGTCTAAACAATGCATCATATGCGTTTGGATTAACATAATCATCGAGATCATATTGTCTAGAAGGCTGAAGCCATTCCTAAATTGTCGAGCAGTGTACTCATATTGAGCAAACGATGCATCATATGCGTTTGGATTAACATAATCATCGAGATTATATTGTCTAGAAGTCTGATAATTGGGGCGTCTACGCGAATTATAGCCTCGTTGTTGATGATTGCCATTCCTAAATTATCGAGAAATGTACTCATATTGAGCAAACGATGCATCATATGCGTTTGGATTAACATAATCATCGAGATTATATTGTCTAGAAGTCTGATAATTGGAGCGTCTATGCGAATTATAGCCTCGTTGTTGATGATTGCCATTTCTAAATTGTCGAGCACTGTACTCATATTGAGCAAACGATGCATCATATGTGTTTGGATTAACATAATCATCAAAATTATATTGACTAGAAGGCTGATAATTGAGGCGTCTACGCGAATTATAGCCTCGTTGGTGATGATTGCCATTATGGAAAGAACGATGAGAAGTCATTGTTTCTTTTTGATCAAGAAAGAAATTAAGGAACAGAATACTTTTGAGTTTGAACAGAGTACTATAGTTTGCATTGGAGCAAAGTATTAATAGAGATTATTTTCTTCCCACTTTAATTTGGTTTGGGTTTAAGTTAATTTCCTTTTCTATGTTTTAGTAAATGAGTTTTTAGTTGGATTTCTTGTTTGATTTGGTTTCGGCTAAAATATTTTTGTTTTTGGAAACTTTTAATAAGGAAAAGAAAGGGCTAAAGTAAAAACTTAATTGTACTCGCATATTTATTTGGAAACTTACCTATGGCTTAATATATTTATTATTTATAGTAATAATTTTTTTTGACTGAACACTTATAATACAATTTAATACGTAGAGAATTATTTATAGAGATTCTCATTATTCATAAAATTATATCGTCTAGAAGACTGATAACTTTTAGTTACATATTTGGCACTTCTTTTCTTCTTTTGTTTCGGCTTCTGTGTTGCTTATCATTCTTCCTCTTCATTGCTTATTTTTTTAAAAATAAATTGACTTACCGTATACAAGTTCACATTAATTATTTAAAGTATAAAATATGTGGATTTAATAAACATCCAACTTTATTTGAATTGAATAATTATGGAACTTCGAAATATCTATTGTTTGGCCTTCTTGAGAAATCAAAATTGGTAGTTTAAGATTTAAACGGGAACAATCGATAGTTGAGTTATATGTTTTGATAAATAGTTTAAATAGATAATTCACACATATGTATAGTTCAAGTATGAAACTTGAAAAATCAGGATACTTTGAATTTGTTTTTGACCATTAACAATAAACAAATAGTGTGGGAATATTATTGCAAAATTTAATTAGTGAATTTTATGGCCTATTTATGGATGTTCCCAATTCACCATTTCTTTTATACCTTTCTCTAACTCTTTTACTTCTCTCATCAAACAACTCATGCAAAATCCTATTGAACACAAACAAAAAATTATCTTTCTAATAACCTCTTCTTTTCCTTCAAGTGATGTCATGTTATCTACAACTTCTTTTGAGTGCTCAAGAAAATCACTTGAAGCTTTCCATTCCTTATTGCTCGTAGAAGTAGTTGTATAATCGCGTTGTGACTTTCCCTCCTCGAGGTCATAAACAATTTTATGATCTTCTGGTTGATCTTGGAAAGCTCTTGACATTCCGATAGAAATAGTTGTCTCGATACATTTCATTGAAGAGGTTATCGCGTCATTGACAATCTGTCTGTCTTTGTTTAAGTGTTCCTGGATCTTGTTTCTATCAGCATCACAACTATCTAATGCTTGTATAAGAGATTCTATACTGTAGGCCATGAAATACAGTAAGTGCACGACGTTTGATAGAGATCGTTGAAGGTTTTGGTAGCATGAAACAGGAAAAGGCGTAAACCAGAAACCAGGCTCCAACTCTGCATCTACTATGAACTTATGCAACTTCTCTACTTGAGAATTCAATTGTCTTTGCTTCTTCATAAAGCTATTGATCTTCCTTGAGTCCAGGTCAATTTGTTTAGTACAACTTTTAAGTGTTTCAAAGCACAGAAGAAGATGATTTTTCGCGATTGTTGCTGCTCGTGTTGGTTGGATAACAAGCTCTATGATGATGAAACATGATAATCCAATTAAGGCCTCGGTGAGTCTAGCAATAGCAAATTCACTCGGGGGACCATAACGTTTTCTGCCTAGAATCAGTAATGCTCCGATAACTGCTGCATCTCCTCCTGCTGTAGAGTACATTTTACTGTGCCTTAAAATTGACGCGAAAATTATCCAAGGGATCATAGCTATGAATCTTATTCTCGCGAAATTTTGAAAAACAGTGCAGCCTAGTACTCCATAGACTGATCCTAGAGCTGTTCCTTGTGCTCGAGCATTTGCAACCGTAAAAATTGCTATTTTTCCTGTTTCAAAGCTGATGGCTGTTGTAAGCCCTGACCAATATCCATTCCGTTTGTTAAATAGCAGACCAAGTAGTACAGCCAGACCTAACGAAATTGAACACTTGCACGCGAATACTAGGCTTTCACGGTTCATTAGGTTAGTCCAATTGATGCAGACTCGTTTCGAGCTAGCTTTATCACTTCCTCCTGAATCTTTGGATCCTTTAGTCATGATTAGATCATTTATGCACATTTTGATACAAGACAAGAAGAAAATTGCTGGTTGATCTAGACTTGTCAGGGAAATTGACTCAGGGGACAAACTGGTAAACTCATTGTCGAATACCCCTTCTGTTTCTGTAGCTATCATTGAATGTGTTCGCAAAAGGCAACGAGCTTGCTCCAGTTTTAGACCGAGTAGCTGTAGCACGCGATGTGAGACGCGTATGAGCTTTTCATCTATAATTGTTGTTTGAAAACAAGGACAAGAAGTTAAAGCAATTTCCATTCCTTTCATTGGACTTTCTATGTCATGCAAACCATTTCCAGGATCAGTGAAACAGGGGACTATGAATCTTAGCCAAGGTTTCTCCCATCGTAAACTTCCCTGCTCATGTACAAATGGATATTTAGGTAACTGAACGACAAAAGGAATAAAAATACTTACCTACATATACCAATTTATAGAATTCGCCCCTAAAAAAGTTACATTGTATATCGTCGAGGTATACAACTCACATTCTGGTATACCTTAATAGTATACAACAATAAGAATATTTCAATCACACTGTTGGTACACAACATGTGAATCTGGATTTTCTCTAAATTGACCTACAACTCTGTACCAGGTTAAATCGATCAAATTTTTTCTGGTCGCGTATAGGCATAGACCACGAAAATGTCCCATGCAAGAATTTTTACCTAATAAGGTTAAATTGATCTGGAAAGCGGAGAAATAATAGTATGCTTTTGACTGTTTAACTAATTCCACTGATAGTGTAAAAATTCTTTACGCTGTGACATAATTAATCATACCTCTAAGAGTTTGATACTTTGAAGAAGCTTGGATCCTGTTACGGAAATTGGTTTGGCTTGTGATAGGATCTCCATAGCTATTTGTTCATTTGGAGAATGGAGGGCTTTGAGGTAAAGATTCAATCTCTCTGAAGCATTTTCAGCATAAATACCATATAGTTTCCTCACCTGTAAGCAAATTTTATAAATATATTAGCAATGGTATCATTGTAAACAAGTGTGATGGACTTTTTTTTAAAGTTATATCAAACTATTTTAGTTGGTGGTGAAATTTTTTTTATACATCAGTAAGTGTTTAGAAGTTAGACGTCGTAAGTTGACAAGTGACAACCAGCGAAAAACTTGTCAATTCATTCATGTTCGACTCATATACTAATAGTACCTTTTTGTTTATGTTGTGTAGGCCTTGAATTTTTCTGGGACTCACAATTATTTTATTCATAAAGGACTTGATCCCTTTCATCTTGCATTAGAAAAATTGATTGGCCTTTCTTTTTTATTACTATTTGAAAAGTTGGGTTATTCTTGTTAACAGGCTAGTCGATGTTGATATCACATGCGTCAATGATTTTGTTGGACCAAGTAGACAATGATATTTTTGTTTCCTGTGTATGATCAACTTTAATTTCCAAAGAAAAATGTCGAAAAAATTTAAGCAATATAGTATATGGATATTAATAAACTAGCTGGTTTTATGAACTACACTTTGTAATGGATTTTATGATCGTGGTGTACTTTTGGACCTAGTATTCACTAACTATGTTCATCAAGATTTAAATAAATATAAAAAAAAATGTGGGTTCACGAAACTAGTGACTTTTGTTCATACCATGAATTTGTATTAAGAAATCAACAAAATATTTATAAGTAGTTCATGATATTATTTTACACCAACTTGAGATTCTTATAGGAAACTATAAACTTTAAAATCTAAATTCGTCTCTATTTAACTTCTACACATTTTGAATCTCCTTGTGGTTCCGCACTACTACCCCATTACCCCTATTTAATGGACTAATGTAACTGTTTCTGATAGAACTCGGCTCAATGGAGAAAATTTGCATTATTATCTGATTGATTCATGTAATTTTATCTTAGATATCATGATTACCTCAAAATAAGCTAGCCAGGGGAAGAACAGCAACAAAGCAAGAACAGAAGCCACAGCTCCAAGAGCAGTACTAGATGCAACTCGTAGAGGGTGCATCACTATATTCACACGAATTCCATGAATAACAGAATCCACATACACAACAACCAGCTGTCCGAAAGCAATCCGCTTAGACATCAAATCCGTATTCCCCGGCAATGCCACCAAAAAAGCACTCCCCGCCACCATCACAGCAGCTACTAGGGGCGAGAAGTTGATATCATCAGTGGCGAAGCCATGAATCCATAACCCAACCATAGAAAGGGGCATGACTTGGAGCGTGGCACAACACGCGCTCCAACAGCCCCTTAAAACTTTTCCTAGGGTGGCATCTGGCACAATAATTATGGCCGTTACATATGAAAAGGAGGGAAATGCCAGATGTCTTGCAATAGAGGGCGGGCTGAGTAGGGTGGTGCAGCCGATTATTATGCATGCTAAGGCGGTACGAATGGCCGAATGTAGCCTCATTCGCCACATGGCTTGATCTCGCTTAGCCATAGTTGTAGTTGCCATACTTAGGATATAATCAGATTTTAATAAACGAATATAGAAAAAGATAACTCGTTCTCTTCTAGAAATCAGGCTTGAAGTACCTCTTAAGTCTCACATTATCAACAAGTCAAAAGCTGATGGCAGGTGATAACGATTAATACTACGAAAAAGTTGCTATAAAAATGCATATGATCAAATGTAGGTGTAGGTTACAAAAACAAAGTGGCATTGAGGGAGGAATTTATATTGAATCTTTTCAGTCAACTAATATATGTCTGGATTCTGGAATCAAACCTTAAAGAAATTGGGATTTCGGGGTCCAGCTCCTCTCCAGTCTCCACGTACCATTCTTTTCATTTCCTAAGTTTTTTTAATTCGATAGAAGACACATTCCAAATTGAAATCAACAGTTTAGATTTAATATGCATTTTTCTTTTGGTTTCCCATTGAACTCTCAATTATTATGGTTAAAATAATAGATATTCCTTATATTTATTTGCAAACGATTTGGAAATCCCATCATTCTAGCTAAAAAGTTTTTTTCCTTTTTAATGTTATTATATTATAACTTAATTTGATTGATACATTATTTGTGGTGCACGATTGCTACGAAAAAAAGTTACAACAAGGTTCTGGTGAAAAATAATAAAAGGGATTTTAATTTTAAATGGAGGATCCAAATAATGGTTATGTACTCTTTGAAGATTTTTTTTTTGTTTTCCATCATTTGACATTCCTAAATTCGAATCCGCCTATTGCAGGACCTATTTTTGGGACAACACTTTCAAAATGATTTATTTCATTCTTAGAGGTTCGAACCTGAACCTATGATTAAGGGTGGAGGAATCTCAACCATCCCATCACAATCTTCGAAGATATTGTTGTAACTATCCCAACTTCAATCTACCCTTCAAATATGAACCAACAATTTTGTACTACTCTAAAGTATTTATCAAGCTAATCGATACAAAAATAGTTTAATTTTGGAAACGGCCTCCTCTTTGTCATTCACGAAAATAAATTTACTTCATAGTATTATATTATAATTAACCATATATCTACAAATTTGATGTTGGCTTCCAGATTTCTACGTGCTAATCCACCAATGACCGAACACATTATGGAGAATAATAAAAAATATTATGTTGAATTTATTCCTCAAGCCTTTTTTTTTCCACTAACAGGCCAGTACCTATAGCAAGTATAACTAATCATGTGAAAAGTTGGAACTAAAAACTTGTCAAAAAAAAAAACATTTGAAACAAACTAAAAGAGAAAGTAGAACAAACAAGTTGAAATAGAGGAGTAATAAAGTACTATTAATTAAGCCGAGTATCAAGTGAAAACATTCTCTCTATCTAAACAAAATTATGATAAAGTCTCGATACACATCACCCTCACCAAAGTTATTATTGTTGCTTATAATCAATGGCGGAGCCACCTTATCTTTAGGGGTTCATTCGAACCCCCTTCGACATAAAATTATATTATTTTTACATGGTTAAAATATTTTTTTAGGTATATATAGTAAATGTCGAACCCCCTTCGGCTACTTCGTGTGTCTATTTCTTCAGATTTTAAACCCCCTCATTGAAAATTCTGACTCCGCCACGGCTTATAATGTATAGTTTCTTCTTGCACATTTCTAGAATTACATATTATAGTATATATCCTATCCTTGGCATTTGAAACCGAATCGCCGAATATAAAAGACTTTGTCCAACATATCAAAAAGATATAAAAAAAAAAGATACTATAAATTATTTGTCATGTGGACTTAGAATACTTGTTAACATGATCAATTTATTCATAAGACGAAAAGTTTTGAACAAGATATTCCTCTTTGAAAAAAAGGTCGGTGAGATCTTACTAATATTGTATAATTGTTGAACTAGGCGGTTTGAAATATTGAGATTATGTACATAAAATATCTTATTTGGAAAATCAACTATGTATTTTTTTTTTAAAATGTTGTTGAACAATTCTATCACTCGATTATACATGTTATTAGATGAAATATTTTCATAGTTTTTATGAAAACAAATATTATACGTGAATACGATCAATTTTTAATATTTATGATCTAATGATTAGCACTACATTTATTCTGGATGTATTTTGCAAGCGAATAACCACTCATAGCCACACCAAAAAAAAAAAAAAAAAAAAAAAAAAAAAAAAACTCACTTTTTGGCGCCAATGCTCTGACTTACCTCTTTCTCTCGAACGCAATTTCTTTTGATCATCTCTTGAATCTCATCAGTGCCGTTGATTCAAACCGTTGAAACGGATCCACGCAACATACATGATTATCTTCACCGTCCCCGAACGAATCGTCGTTGTCGTTTTTGAGATCAACAATTGCTTCATCTGTTCTTCTACTATTATTTTCTGAGTATAACTCCGAATCATGATGATCTCCTTCTGCAGGCCACACAAATTCCTCGAATTCGCTTTTCAATTTCATCTTTCTACTTTGTTTCTTCAGAAAGCTGTTCATTTTTGCGCGAGTTGCAGAGAGGAGAGATAGATCGAAGTAATCTTCTAACCTCACTTTAACAGCTATCGATTTTCTCCTTTTCTGTAATGGAGATGAATCCACATTCGTTGAGTTATCCTGCTGTAATTCATACCTGTAAGTCACAAAAACATCCAGATCTCGTGTGAACAAATGTGATATACATGCATAATCTGAATTGATCGAACAGAGAATGTGATTACATATGAGATGCGATAACAGAGGACGACAATTGCTGATGAGGAGAACGAGTAAGTTTTCTCCGTTTCTGTAATGGAGATGTATCTACATTCGATCTGCAATTACGAAAAACATCTAGATTACATATGAGCGATTCGCAAATGCGTGAGTAGCTAAATTGAACAGAGAAAAGGATAATTACAGATGAGGTGAGATTGCGATGACAGTGGACGATGATTGTTGAGGACGAGTAAGGCGTTTTTGAATGTCTTCAATTGTGGCGAGAGGACTCGAAGCTTCGACTCCATGTTTATCCATCATACACTAGCTCATAGTGGAAAGGTAAAAAGTATGACTGTTTTGCAGAGAATCGTTCCAGCCAGAAAATTTATTTTCCATTTATCACTTTATATAGTTATAATTTTCACATTTGTTCACAACTAAATGTTCAAGTGCTAAAATCATTCCAAAAACATGTACTCCCTTCATTCTAATTTATGTGACATTCATCTCCAAAAATCGCATATTGATGAAAGGTCCATGAAGTCAATCCGCCAAACATCAAAAAGTTCAACTTCAAGGATAGGGGTAAGAGGACATTCATGTCCTCGGGAGATACCTCTTTGACATTGACCGGGGTAAGAGATCAAAATCAAAATCGTGAACACCCCTAATCATGTGAAATCCAAAGTGAACAAAAAAAAATGAGGCAAATTATAACAAAACAAGATAAGACTTTAGCTTTCCATTAGAAGATCAATATAATCAGCTACCCCATAATTGACCCCTAAGCTTAAGAGAATCGAAAATTATTGTCTCTTTTCTAAAATGCCATTGTACCTTGGTTATCATGATAATGTTTGCTTATTTCACTTTTTTCCACGTGTTTTGATATCTTTTCGATTGTTTTAAAAAAGGAACAAAAAATCGTCCTATACATCAAAAGTAAAAAAGGGATTTCCCTTGATTACATCTTGAATGAGACCCAATTAGAAATGGCTGAAAAAATGACAAAGTTTATCATTTGCTATACTATAGCAGTGACCAGAGGCGTATTCAGGATTTATAGATAATGGGTGCACTATTACAAAAAGGTGGATCTAAGACATAAATTTGATCGGTTAGATTCTTTTTACTGAAAATCATTAAAATTTTAAAATCATAAGTCCAAAATTAACTTTTATTTATCCAAACCAGTTACAAAATCTTAGAAAGAAAACTAAAACAAAATAGATAAAAGATTCAAATTTCTAACCTCACCTAGAGAGGTGCACCCAATCATCATCGTACTACATTATATGATACTTCGAGTCTGGGTTCACGCATCTATATTTAAAAAATATAACACTACTATATATGATTTCGGGAGGGGACCATGGGTTCACGTGAACCCGGTGACCCCCTCCTGTATACGCCCTTGTTAATAGGACCAAATATACTTTATTGTTACCAAAATATTCAAAAATACTACTCATATCATAGAATTCTCCAAATCAATCAAAATAACCCATTTAAATCGCAATTACCCGATCACTTCTTTAAACCCGACCCAAGCCCACTTAAACAGGATTAACTCCACCAACTCTACTAGCTTGCCTAATTGTTTGCGGCCAAACCTGTTTACTCTACTTGCTTGCCTAACTGCAATTACTCTTTGTTTACAGTGGGCTTAATTAACATGGGTTTAATTAATTTAGGTGGATCTAGGTTGAGTTTAAAAGGGGAATTGGATAATTTAATTGAAATAGGGTTTTTTTTAATAATTGATTTGGGGATTCCATTCAAATGAGGGATATTTTTGAATACTTGGTAACGACAAATCGGATGTATATTTGATCGGTTGGTCCTATAGTATAATAAGGGATAAATTTAACTAATAAATAAAAGTAAAATGATATTTTTGACTCTTTACCTTCATTTCGTGTATAAGGGAAATGAGTTTTTGGATTTATCATTTTTTCGTATATTTAGTACTAACAATTTAGATTTAAACTTTCAATTTTGTTCTTAATGAGATATTTTATATTTGCACAAATATTTATGGCTTATTCTAGATCACAAGTTAAAAAAATCTCTTTTTTTACATTTCATGCTAGTCAAACATAATCTCATAAATTAGAGTGTTGTTAATAGGACCAAATATACTTTATTGTTACCAAAATATTCAAAAATACTACTCATATCATAGAATTCTCCAAATCAATCAAAATAACCCATTTAAATCGCAATTACCCGATCACTTCTTTAAACCCGACCCAAGCCCACTTAAACAGGATTAACTCCACCAACTCTACTAGCTTGCCTAATTGTTTGCGGCCAAACCTGTTTACTCTACTTGCTTGCCTAACTGCAATTACTCTTTGTTTACAGTGGGCTTAATTAACATGGGTTTAATTAATTTAGGTGGATCTAGGTTGAGTTTAAAAGGGGAATTGGATAATTTAATTGAAATAGGGTTTTTTTTAATAATTGATTTGGGGATTCCATTCAAATGAGGGATATTTTTGAATACTTGGTAACGACAAATCGGATGTATATTTGATCGGTTGGTCCTATAGTATAATAAGGGATAAATTTAACTAATAAATAAAAGTAAAATGATATTTTTGACTCTTTACCTTCATTTCGTGTATAAGGGAAATGAGTTTTTGGATTTATCATTTTTTCGTATATTTAGTACTAACAATTTAGATTTAAACTTTCAATTTTGTTCTTAATGAGATATTTTATATTTGCACAAATATTTATGGCTTATTCTAGATCACAAGTTAAAAAAATCTCTTTTTTTACATTTCATGCTAGTCAAACATAATCTCATAAATTAGAGTGCAGAAAATAACTGTTACTCTCACCATAATATTTATCAGAGATTTATTTTAGTACTAAATTAACCTTATTAATTATATTTTGAAAAGTTACTATGTATGATAAGAGTAGTATTTAAAAAGAAAATGATAAATTTCTCTTGACTTGTTAGAATGGTTACTAATAATAAGAAAAGTCTATTTTTAATATAAAATCAAGTAAATATCTTCTTGTTTTGTCACATTAATTATTTTAAATCTATTTTCAAAAATTAAAACATCAATTATTTTAAGTAGGGAGAAATATATTGTACGTTTAAAATCAATACAATTGATGAAAAAAGTCATTTTTCATTTAAATCCTCAGCCCCACACTAACTTCCTAGCCCAACCCCCACACCCCTCTACCTCCCCTAACTCCTACCATCACTTGGTCAATCATGGGCCTCATCTATAATAAGATAATTATAAGTTGATTTACATAGTGATTAACAAGTTTAGAAATAGTTTAGTAAAATATTTCTCTAAGTAGATAGAAGTAGCTAATTTAACAATGCCACTATACATTTTCCATCAAAGAATATATATGGTACAAAACTTTTTTCTTAATTAAATATTTAGATTTTGAATTTTGAATATGAGTTTTTTTTATAAGAAGCGTTTCCCTCGAATGAATGCTATGCAATGCGAATTAGTATTTATCAAATATCGAATGAAAAAAATAAAAACGTCAATGTATAGTTGTGAGATAATACTCTCCTCGGTCTATTTTAATTGTCTTGTTTACTGAAACTAACTAGTTCAAAATAATTGTCATTTTAGAAAATTAATATATAATTAATTACTCCCTCCGTTTTATTTTTTGTGTCACCATTTGACTGGACACATTGCTTAAGAAAAAAGGATGACTTTTAAAACTTGTGGTCTAAAATAATCCTTAGATATTTGTGTGGCTATAAATCATTTTTTAAGGGTAAAAAAGAATTTTAAAATTAAACTGTTTCTAATTATAGTAACATTAAACCAAAAATGATCTTTACCAATAATTAATTAACGACAATAGCCATATATTTATAGAGACAATTAAAACTCTTTGTAAATATACCTAAAGCCTAAGTGACATTGGATCTAATGACAATTAACTAATGCCGATAAAAACTTTAACACTCCTTTTTAAAATGTATATTTATTGCCGCTAAAAGTTGTTTTTGTCATAATGCAAAGTGACATTTTTTGAGGACGAACTATAAAAAAAGAATGCCACATAAAACGGGATAGAGAAAATATTTGTTTTCACATTTACCACCACTCAATAAATAAGGAGAGAGATTAATATAATTTAAAAAAAGTAACATCAAATTGAAATAAATATTTAATTTTTAAAAAAAGTGTAAAAAGAAAACATGACAAGTAAAATTAACCGAGTGAATATATAATTCATGCTATAAATATTACTTACTACTCATTGTGGACATTTATAGACAAAAGAAAGAAAAAGTAAGAGGACTTTTTCTAAGTTTGTGTACATTGGATCCTTCGCTAATTGCTCTCTTTAACTTTCCATATATTTTTCCAACAACCTTCTTTCACCGAACAAACCATAGACAAATTACATCCAAAATTTTGTATTATCTCAAATTACAATGGAAAATGAAGAAGAAATCAAATCCAATGAAGATATAGTTGTACCAAATAATCGTGATCATAATAATATTGTACTAGATAATCGTGGTGATCAGGTCGAGTTTCAAGATTTATATGATGATGATATCGAGAAGAGAAAAGGTCATGAAAATTACTCTAAATGTACTTCAAAGATAGTTGATGATGAAGATGACGACTATGGATTTTTAACTCCACCTTCTTTGGATCACAAAATTGCGAAAATCACAAAATGTCCTCGAGCACCCATGAAAATTACCAGGCCAATAATTAGTATAAAAAGAAAAACTGTTTCGAGGACATTAATCTTCGAAGAAGCTGTTTTTGAAACAATTTTCATCGCAAGAATCCAGAAAGAATTGCATCTGCCAAGCAAGAAATCGAGAAAAATAGATGGCGGAAACTGAAATTATTTCCATATAGAGGTGAGAATTATTAGAATTTTTAATTTGTTTTGCAATTATATATCTACTCATTTATATTTCACGTAATTTGTTTCTTCCTCTTTTTTTTTTCCATTTAAATAAGGAAGAAATATATACTAGTTCCATTGATATTATTTGGAATTGAGCCAAGGGTCCTTCGGAAACAACCTCCTTGGTACGATCTGCGTACATTCTACCCTCTCCAATCCCAATAACCCACTTGTGTGATTTCACTGGATATGTTGTTATTCTATCTGGAATTGATTTTTTTATTTGTTGTATTCTTTTTTCTTTTCTCCCATAAACTATTTCTAGACAAGCATGCAGTTTGTTTGTATGTGTTTTGCTCCTCAAGCAAAAGCAATGTATGTTTTTCTTTTCTTTTCCTTGATTAAAATTTATCATCTGATATTCAAA